GTGGCAAGGAATCGGACGGTTTAGGTTTACCAGAAGATGACAAAAAGTTTGCAGTTCCTACACAGTCTGTTTTGCAACTTTGTAAAGACTTTGAGAACACCAATCGTAACATCACTGCTGACAACTAGTTCAGCTCTTATGAGCTAATGGAGCAGCTAAAACAGAGAGGTCTGACTTATGTTGGAACTCTAAAAAAAAATAAACGTCACATTCCACCTGAATTTCAAGCATCCAAAACAAGAGAACCTGAAACAGCATTTCATGGATTTATAAAAGATTTTACCTTGGTTTCTTACGTTCCCAAGAAATCTAAAGCAGTTTTACTGATTTCGTCCATGCATCACACGTCCGAAATTGATCCCGTTACCAAGAAACCGGTTATCATAATGGAGTATAATAAGACAAAGGGTGGGGTTGATGAAGTTGATAAAAAATGTTCAAACTATTCCTGTAGCTGCCGCACTCGCAGATGGCCTTTAGCATTTTTTTTCAGATTGCTAGACTTGAGCGGAGTGAATGCCTTTGTGCTTTATAGGCAGTGTGCTGACGTATCAGACATATCAAGAGGACGATTCTTACAGGATCTTGCCCGAGAATTAGTTTTACCACATTTACAACGACGAGTCTACAATGACCGTCTTCCAAGAGAGCTAAGACTGACAATGGAACGGATTCTTGGCGAAGATTTACCGCCAGAACCTAGCCGCATTGAGTCAGCTGTTGGTGAAAATGACAAAAAGACTTGTAAGGTGTGTCCAGCAAGGCTGAAGCGACGCACAAGGTACAAATGTGTTGCATGTCATAAGCCTATATGCTTAGGCTGTTCCAAAACAATCTGCAGCGACTGTATTGACTGAGACTGAATTTAGAAGACTGATTCTGTAGTAGTTCTTATATTATTTTAGTAGTTAAGTTGAAGAAGTAATATATTTTATTTTTTGTTAAAAAATAAGTCTGTTTGTTTATTTCATAACACTTAAGAAGTGCGTCTTTTATAGGATGTGATTTTTTCGTACCTTTTGCCAAATGTCCTAATAAATGTTGATTAATGCTTAAATTGGGTTTAATTTTAGTCAATATCATTAAAAAGAGGATTTTTATTTTGATTTTATACAAAAAATGTCTAATTAATAATTAAGTTCATACTATTGACATAAATTGCGTAGACGTCTATAAAACGTCACATCACCATTTATGAGTCATCCAAACCACATCACTACTTAGAGGTTAAACATGTGTAGGGTGGTCCATTACTAAATTTACCATATGATACAGCACTAGGTTTTCCTTTGGCATCTTGCAGCTAGAGAAGAGGTGAGGGTGATTCTCCCCCTTATATAGTTTCTTGACATTTTTGAAAATTTCTTAATAAAAACCAGCTTTCAGAGTTAAACTTTAGCAGTGAAATAGGGCATTTTGATGTGTTGAGGGGGTGGGACCTCCACTAATTCTCCTCTTTGGAGATGTGTATTTAATTTAACAGAGCATGTAGGGATACTCCGGTGTGAAACTGCTCTGTGTACCAACCAACCTGCAGTAGCTGATATAATGATGAGAAGTCTTCATATTTTTGCCCAAGATAACAAAAGTTATGGTTACTTTAATTATAAGAGTTTGTTTAAACATGCTAATATCTGGGACTACCAGCCCTATTTCAAAAATTTTCTTTTTATCATATTCATGAGGAATAGTATGGGCTATATAGCTTTAGGCTACACTTCTCAGCTAGCCTTAAATACTGATTTTTGTGAAGCAAGCCGGATGAAAAAGCACTCCCTAACTGTGTTGTGAAACATTGTATTTATGTTTCACAAAAATATAGATCTTTCTCTCATCTAAAAAAAAGACCGTGATATTCCATATATCGACTATTTCTTACACAAGCCACAATAAGGTATTTTCTAAAAAAATTATTGAAAATTGGTAAGTGATTTATGAGCGTTATTATTAGGCATGGCATATTAATCCTTACGACCGAAAGTTACTTCATCATTAAAATAATTTTATGAAGATAAACTTAGCTTTTTATAGCATGTTATTTGGGTGCATAGTTTTTTTTATAGGATAAGGGTGACAAACGAGCACACAGTCCACCTGATGGTAAGTGGTTGCTGTGGCCTATAGACATCTACATCTATCCTCAAATATGATTCAAAATGCAGATGCGTTGTCACCCTTGAGGACTAAGATGGAATGACTCATTTCCAGAAAATAGGATCTCCAGTTCTCTACACTCACCAAACGAAACACAGCAGCGTTAAGCTGCTATTTTACGTTGGTATTCTGTGGTCCTTCCCCAGTCAAGCCGACCCATTCGTGCTACAACTATACAAGTAATATAGCTTTAGCATGGCTCTACCACGTAAAGTTAATGAGATAATGGAAATTTAAATAATTTAGCACTCGGCTCGGCGCGCCTACGATGGCAGTGAACGCTTCTATAAGTGAGTTGTCATATCATGCGACTTAGAGTTGCCAGATTGTTGGGATTCGTTTGGATTCTCCCGACATTTCAAATTATCTCCAGACTCTTGACAAAACTCAAAATCTTCAGACAAACAGCTTCTCAGAAAGTTAACATGTGGTCTTTGATTTAATAAAAATTGAGTTAGTAATTACTGAACTTTGAAGTAAATTCTTTGAATTTTAAATCTTTCCTGAATACTAGCACAGTTCAATACGGTCTTAAAACTATGATACTACTAAAGGGTCCAAATCGGTGAACGCTAGTAAAGTCCAACACCAGACACATGTCTGTCATGTTATACGTGGTAGAGCCATGCTGCAGCTGTATTAGTAGTATAGCTGTAGCACAAATGGGTCGGCTCGACCGGAGAAGAACCACACTCTCACAGAATACCAGCGTAAAATAGCAGTTTAACACTGCTGTGTTTCGTATGGTGAGTGTAGTGTCTGTGGGTCACAGCAACCACTTACCATCAGGTGGACTGTGTGCTCGTTTGTCACCCTATTTCTATTTAAAAAAAAAGACATGTGGTAACCTAAACGTTAAGTGTCCTTAAATTTTTTTTAAAGTACTTTTTGTGGTCTCTTAATTAAAAAAGTAACCTTTTTATTTTTAATATTTATTTCTCCCAACAACAACCCCAAAATCCCGACATTTTTAAAATTTGTCCAGATATTTTGATCTTCCGATATGGCAAACCTACTTAGACGCATGATATATTCAGGTGAAACCATGGAGCACAGCTAGTAATTACATAAAATATTTATAGATTAAAATCACAAGCAAGAACAGAATAGCTTTTTTTATTTAGAATATTCATAATTTCCATGTTTCTACATAGATGCCTAATAAAATGCTAAAAAGAGATTTCTGTCATGTGTGCCTTCTGTCTATTTCTTTCTATAATATTTTCTGTTGTTTAAGCAGGCAATAAATATGTTCTTAGTTTCCCTCAATTAAACTCAGAGCATTATTGTACATTCCGAGCAAAATCTATACAAATAAATAAAATTGAAGTGTTTGTTTGTAATGTCAAAATTACAGCTTTTTACAAAATGCATATGAAAGTATATATATACGGTACTAATAACAAAAATACACTTTTTAAAGTTTTTGTCTGTCTGTTTTTGTTCAGACTAATCTCCGAAATGGCTGGACCGATTTTGACAGGATTTTCAATGGCAGATAGATGATGTCACAAGGAGTAACTTAGGCTACTTTTATTTTAGAAAAAGAAAAGAATTAGGGTTCCGCGCAATAAGTTAAAACCCCAAAAAACATGCGGGCGAAGTCACAGGGAACAGCTAGTCATCAATAAAATTGTGCTTCAGGATACTAAAGTCAACCCCAGCATTAAGCTGCTATTTTACACTATTCTTTGCAAATGTAGTCCTTCTTTGATTGAGCTACCTAATTAATGCTTTATTATAAAACCACAACACTACACTTCTACATAATCTTACAAATAACCTTTTCTGAGAAAATTCTTCCACCAAATATTGCATTCTATGAGATTCCTTACAATGTCCTTATTAACTTTTACAACAACCACAAGACTTTTTTTGAACACAGGACCTTTCATTAATTTAATGTCCAGTACATGACTTGCCTGACAGTCTTGTGGATCACTGGGAAAGACTCACGGACAAAACACTCACACAAGAACACTTACAGAACAACATGTATGCAACCAAAATATGATAATACATCTTAAACATTGAATGATAGTTGTTAAGCATTAATTTAGTCTAGTTATTTACAAATCATTATTTTTTAAATTTTTGTAATAAATACTTTAATTGCTAATAATAAATACTATACTTAAAAAATACTGACATAGTATGCACTTATATGAATCTAACAGCACTGAAAATACTGATACTGCACATCTTATTTCAACAGAACAAAAATATGTATTATATTATATTTTTGAAGTCACAAACCTAACCCATAAAAGATTAGCATAACATATAACATATATGAAATTCTACATCAATTACAGATTTATAAAATCTGCATATTTCATAGTACTCCCCCAAATATCACATGTACTGAGAGGGACTTGCAATACTGGAAATTTAAATGAGTAGTTTTTAAGCATGATACAAACTGTAAAATTAGTTCACTAGAACCTTTTACATATACAGACCACACCAGCATGTGATGCACATATTTACCTGCTGTGGCAATAGATTAATGGTATCATATTTATTTAAAAAATACCAGGGTCACACTCCACAGTGTAGAAAAGAGCAGTAGCAGAAAAGTGTGGGATAAGTGCTACATTTACCAACCCACCTGATCAGAACAGTCAGTATTGGCAGTTAGGCATAAATAATATAGTGTATGTTACATGTAGTTGGTGCATTCTTAAAAGGGCATATATCCAAAACTGGATTCAGAAAGGGTGTTATAAAAAAGAGAAAATAGTTTCGGCAATAAGACTCGATATTTCTAAAAACGGACATAAACAAACCGTATTAACAACATTAAAAAAAATATACAGTTTAAGTTCCATTAAATATCGACTTACGGCTCTGGACTGTACTGAGCTCCTCCAAAAAAGCCATGTCTATCTGGCTGGGTAGTCACCGAAGAGCATATTGATGTGTTGTCTGCCTGGTCACCGCGATCCCCCGTGCTCTTTATACTTTTCTGAAGCGACATTATCGCACTCAATTCGCAAACTTTAACACTATCTTCTGTCTAGCATCATGTACAAACAGACACAATACTGTATTGGTGAGCAAATTAATTACAAACATGTAACTGTTCCGGATGTTCACGCCCGTCCACGAATGACAACAGCTAAAACCAAATGCATTTTTGCGAGGCAGCTGACAATTGACAAGGACAGTAAATTACTATTTATCACCCAACACTAACACATGATTAATCAAACAATTGGTAAGCACGCAATGATAGCACCTAATGATAGACCTAATCTTAGCAGATGGCTTACAAATAAATATGAAACAACAATAAAATTTACTATTTATTGTACAGCGACATCAATACAACTTTATAATTTGTGAGCGACATTTGTAGCCACAGACTAATATGATCACAGAGTACTTCTTATATACTGGAAAATATGATGCTTTTTGTAGCGCACAGAACAGCACAGACCACAGATAACATATTACTTACTAATCTGTGCAGCGCATTTTCTTAAGATTTTTGGCTTGGATGCTTATCTTTTAAGCCATTTATCTCATTATCAAGCAGGGCTCGGAAACCGGTTCAAATTCTAAACCGGTTTCGGTCATTGACCCCAGAACCGGTTTCTGCGGAATACCGGTTTTTCACAAATTTAGGTTTAGGTAGTAAGAATTAACCGGTTAAAACCAAGATTTGTATTGTTGCCCCTCTCCCTTACCCCGCTTGCACCCAACTTTGTACGGCTGCCCTCTGTTTAATTCACGAGGTTTTTAGACACATGAACAATATATTCATTGCATCAACGCGACTGCCTTGTAACATATTCCCTCATATTTTTTCATCTTTGCAACGATCGTATTATAGAATAGAATAGAATAGAATAGAATAGAATAGAATATTTTTATTCAATATACATTACATGTGTAATTCTTATTGAAAGTCATTTTTTACTTTACCACTGGTTCGAAAAAACCCTCTGTCCTGGGAAGAACCAGCAAGAAACCCAGCGGGACATTTTTTTTTTAAAATAAATTTTACAATATAAATGATTACGAACTATTTACAAAATTTATTTTAGAAACTGCTTGGAAGCGATCACCTCATTCCCAGGGGTTATTATCAACCATGTATTCATTTATACTATAATAACCCTTTTTATACAGTTTCAGCTTGATGAAACATTTAAACTTGGTAATAGAGAGAACCTGTACACTTTCCGGGACCTTGTTGTAATAGCGTATACATTGCCCCAAGAATGAATTACTGACTCTGTGGAGTCGAGAAACTGGTATCACTAGCTTGTGTTTGTTCCTAGTGTTTACAGAATGTATATCACTTCTTTTACTAAAACTATCTTTGTTTTTGTGAACATACATTAAATTTTCGTAAATATACTGAGAGGCCAAAGTTAATATATTAATTTCTTTAAATTTATCTCTAAGGGACTCTCTCGGTTTTAGATTGTAAATAGCTCTAATGGCCCTCTTCTGTAAAACAAAAATAGTTTCTGAATCAGCCGCATTTCCCCATAGCAAAATCCCATAAGACATTATGCTATGAAAATAACTAAAATAAACTAATCTAGCTGTCTCGACACTAGTGAGACCTCTAATCTTTTTTACAGCATAGGCTGCAGAACTTAGTCTGCTTGCTAATTTGGATATATGGGGGCCCCACTGTAGCTTTGCGTCAAGAGTGATGCCAAGAAAAACAGTGGATACAACAGGGCTCAATTCCTCCCCATTTAAAAACACATTGGTATTAAGATTTTTAACATTCGTTGTTGTAAATTTAACACAATTAGTTTTATTTCCGTTCAAATGCAGATTATTAACGTTAAACCAATGCACTAATTTTGATATAGCATTATTCACTTCGTCACATTTAAATGATTGACGTTTAAGTTTAAAAATCAAGGAAGTATCATCAGCAAATAATACTATATCATGACTATCCCCTACAAGGTGAGGTAAGTCATTAATATATACCAGAAACAGGAATGGGCCGAGAATCGAGCCCTGAGGAACACCCATTAGTACAGGTGACCCGGAAGAACTTTTACCATTGATAATAACCTTCTGTTTTCTATTACTTAAATATGAAATAATAAGTTTAAGCGCTGTGTTCTTGACACCATAGTACTGTAGCTTCCTGATTAATATATCATGGTGAACACAGTCGAAGGCCTTGGAAAGGTCACAAAATATACCCAAAGCATCCTCTGAATTCTCCCATGCACAAAAAATATGTTTAATAAGCTCAACTCCAGCGTCAGTTGTCGAGCGACCCCTTGTAAAACCGAATTGATTTTTATGTAGCAATTTATTAATATTGAAGAAACTTAACATCTGATCTAAAATAATTTTTTCAAAAATTTTACTTAATGTTGGTAGTACAGAAATTGGTCTAAAATTGGCGGGGTCTAATGTACTACCAGATTTAAATATAGGTATGACTTTACTATGTTTCATTAAATCAGGAAACACACCAGCTTCGACGCTTATATTAAATATAGTGGCTAGATAAGGTGCTAATGTATCTATTATAGATAAAATAACTTTAACGGAAATCCCCCATAAGTCTGCCGTTTTCTTAACATCAATAGCTTTAAAATATTTAACGATATCTTTTGGCAGTACCCTATGGAATTTAAAAGTATTTGAACAAGCCTTTACATTTTGTTTGAGCAATGATTCGGCGACAGTAGGAGAAGAATTTAATGATTTTGTTGTCAAAAAAGGAACATCAGTAAAATGTTTCTCAAAAGCCATAGCAACTTCTTGATCAGATCGCGTTAAATTATTGTTAATATTTAATTGAAAATCCGAGTTGCGCGGTTTGACCTTGCCCGTTTCACTATTTATTATTCTCCAGGTCATTTTAATTTTGTCGGATGCAGTTTTAATTTTGTTGCTTAAATGTAAAGCCTTAGCAGTGGAACACACTTTTTTAAATATTTTAGAATATGTTTTTACATAATCTCTAAATATAACACTACTATTATATGATCTTTCATCATAAAGCTCGTATAACCTTCGCCTACTTTTATAAATTCCTACTGTCGCCCATTCATTAAATGATTTGCGACTGTTAAGAGAGAAAGTTTTAGAAGTAAATATTCTACTAAATTCACAACGTATGATTTCAAATAATGTAGCATACAAATAATTAGCACTATTTTTAAACGAAAGTGATGGAAGTCTTTTTATTATATTACTTCTAAACCTCTCCAAGCGATGTTCATTTATTGGAACAAACACAACTTTCTTATTTTTCTGTTTTTTGTGTATGTAAGGTAGTGATACTAACTGTCCACAGTGATCTGAACTTAAATTTTGAATAATTGATTTATGCAAGGGCTTAACATCTGTAAAAATGTTATCTATACAGGTCGCACTAGGCCCAGCAATACGTGTTGGTTCTAAGAATAAATTTACAAGATTATACGATTTAAACAATGAGCGAAACTTAATACTAATGGAAGAAGTTTCAAGGAGATTGATATTAAAGTCTCCACACATTACAACAGACTTGTTCTGTTTACTAAGTTTGAGTAAAACTTCTTCCACAATCCTTTCAAAATGGTCATAAGTAGCACATGGGGGTCTGTAAACACTTACAACAATGAGGTGCTCGAGCTCGACACAAGCCATTTCTACAGTTCGTTCAACAGAGAGGCTCACAATATCCTTACGTTCTTTATATAATAATGATTTATCTGCTAATATTAAGGAGCCACCACGTAAACTTTTTTCTCTATTGAAGGAACTGACCACCTGGTGATTTCTGAAATTAAACATGAAATTATAATCTTTTAGCCAATGTTCAGTAATACAAAGGATGTGTATATTGTTACTATTTAAAAACAATCCAACTTCCAATTCTTTGCCCAACATGCCTTGTATATTTTGATGCACCAGGTGTAAACAATTATTATTACTTATTTGTGGGCTGTATTCAAAATCAATTAAACTCTTATTATTGCTAGAGATTGCCTCTATTGTCACATTCACTAATTTAAATTAGTTGGAACTGATTCCAAATTAAATGTCAAATGATTATGCTCAATAAAAGCAGTCTTGGTAGCCAAAAACTTGGCTGAGTTAAAAAGTAAATAATAAGATAGCACATTTGCTATCAGTCTTAAATTATATTTGGATAGGTAATACCTATCTTTTGTCCAAAACTTTTTTATTAAATTATTTATAAATAACAGATGTAAGTTCTGTTTCAATTAATTATGCGTTATCTTCACTTTAAAATTAAATTTCGATTTAGTTTAATTTGACGTTATAAATTTAAATTAACTTTAATTATATTTAACGTTTTCTATTAAAATTACGCTATGCATCTTTATTTCAATGTCATTACTTTTAGTAATATATCGCAATAAATGATGAACTTTCTTAACAGAACACGATATTTTTAAAAGTTTATGAAATTATATGTTATAGTATTTTTGTTCTTTTTAGGACTAAAGTGAGGCAGATTACCACATTTTTTTAAATTCAGAAGCACGTGATTAGGACCAACCTCTATCTCCGTCTTTGTAAAAATCAATAATGACCACTTCTGAGGTGTAAAGTTTACCTAGAAGTCATATCTAAACACGATAAAAAAATGTTTTGTATGTTCAGAGAATTCTAACAAAAGAAATTAACATTTTTCACATCGCATTAATGAGGAATTGGAGCAAATCTTATCTTGCTGTATACGTTCAAGATGCTACTAAAAAATATTAGCTTTTCTAAATAGAGTGCATGGTAACCACATAGACCAAATTAAATTTACTGATACGAAATTAATAAAGAAAAATAATTTGAATCTAACAAATCATAATAATTAAATTCGGCTATACTTTGCTGTCGACTGTAACCAAATACATACACAAAAAATCCTGTCTTTTATTTAAAGTAATTATTAATAACTCCCAATCAACTAGATCATCAGTATAAATCACACTGATATCTACGATCTTGTATTGAATTATAAAAGAGAATTATTAA